CTTTCCGCCCCTCCCAATTTGAATGGGGAAGAAAACCTTTTCTTGGATTCAAGTAAACATGGTGAATGTTTTAGGGACTTCCTCAAAATCATTGTGTGATAATGCCCTGTCTCCAGGTGTGGCCTGGGTGCATCCTTGAGATGCACTCCCAGGGTGCTTCCATACTTTGATGTTCCCTTCTGCCCCAAATCAGTCTCTACTGTCTGCTGCTTGACCACTGAGAACCAGCTGAAATGCACCAGAAGCCAACTCCTTGGCCTGTGGTGTTTCAGCCCTACCACTCTCACTCAGGATTTTGCCAGCAAGACGGATCACATCCTTGTCTGGTCATGTTCTCGGAAAAAATGGATCCCCTTTCCCATGGGAACAGCAAGCCCTCTATTGGTCAGATATCCTGGGTTCACAAGTATCATTGACAATAAGTGGGTTAAAAGGGATAACAAAGAACAAATATAAGAAATAAATAAGACCTAGCATAAGAAATCAGTAACCATATGTTGAAATACAGACAAATACAAGAGTAAACACACCAAAGAATAATTGTTTTTACCCTGTACCTTAAATCCAAGGACATGGTCTCTACCCAGCTCACCAGCTGGGGGCCTCCAGCATTTACCTATGTCTGGGAAAAACTGATGACCAAGCAATGCCCTTGCAGCAGACTTAAATACAGTTGTTTATCTGGCCATTAACTTACGTCACTGCTTCATTTCTAGGGAGACTCACACTATGCCAGTAACTTATCGGTGCCCCTGTGTCATGTCCTATCCCTGCCCATTCCCTAAATGTACATGTTTACCAGATCATAAATCCTTCCTTATCCAATTAAGTCCAGGAGCATATATGCATTTTTTCAGATATGGTGATTTACTAATCCAATATCTGTCCTTCTTGTCATTTCCCCTCAGTGGGAAATGTTCTCCCTGTATTTTGGTGTTTCTTCTTTTAAAGTATAAATTCATCCTTGTCTGGTAGGGACTATCTAAAAGCAAATAACTCTTGTCAAATAAATGCTAATTCTCAGCTATTGTCTTTTCTAAGTGTGAACAGTTGAGGGCTGCTGGAATTGATCACTACCTTTCTAAAACAACATTGGCTGTAATATAAAGATATATCAAAGTTGCATCAAATACTGTAACACGTACAGATATGAGGACAATAGAACTGAACACAGCTTCACACTAGCTTCTGAGTGTTCAGTACTGAAATCTTCTTTAGGTTTTAGTTTATGTAGCTATGGGGACTTTCTTTTTTTTAGTGCAGGGTTCATTGAGAGAGAGAGGCTTTGAATAAAATACCCTTAGCTGAGGATAAAATCAAAGTGTGTCCTTTCAGTCTCAGTTGGCAAATGAGTAAAATAGATTTTCTGTTTAGATTGTATTGAAAAACATCTGAGCTTCACATATGGGTTTGTTGCATATACACTATGTTTGAGTTGAAAAGAAATATTTGTATTGCAAAATAATTATGCCATTTACCTTATTTTCCTTTAACTCGCTTATAGAGATGACACTGACTGCTAAATTATCATTCATAAGCGATTCATAATTTATAATAGAAGTATAGGGTGACAGATCATCTAGGACCACTGACCTTAAGCAAGGTATTACAAATACATTACTTTCTATATCAGCCCATGAAGTGTTTTGTGAGGGATTGTACAACATTGCTATGATTCTAAGAAACTGGCAGCCATCCTTTCAGTCTGTCTGCCCATGGGACCATTCCTGTGGGGCTCCTCAGGGGTCTGGAAATTTGACAGCGATGGATTGGGGGCAGTTAGCACTGTTACTGCCCCTCCCCCC